GTGGGCATTTTCTCTGCGACCCATCTGCAATATGGACCTCTTCTTTTTTTCGTTTTTGGTGTATCTTCCATGATCAACACTAACACCGACAAATAATTGGATTATCGGTATTCAATTATTCAGAGCAGAAATGTAGAAAATCACAAGTAAAAAGTAGGGAGATACTCTTCAGATTTGTTAGAGCAATATATTGTGAATAATTATTTATAGCCTATATTACTGTATATTAAATTAAGCCTCCTGCTGCGTGATATGAAATGAAAATAATAAACTGTATCCAAGCAACCAAAGAACAGAGCATCATGCATACTGCTACAGTCGTCGCCGCGCACCGCCAAGGGAATTCCAAGTTTCTGACTCTCACAAGTTTATATATCAGGGTCAAACAATTACATTCAACTACGTTTACTTGGGTTGAATATATCATACTAAATAATACTCTTGCAATTAAAAATATTTTTATTTAACAAATGTATGAGTTTTCAAAAAACAAACAATTCTACAAACCTGGCAATCAACTTCTACTTCACCGAGACCAATAAAAGAAAAATCAGGGGGCGTCCAAGGAATACAATAATCACAACTCTCCATAACGACCTCAGTAAGATCCAGTTTACCAATACTCAATATCCAGATCAACTAAAAATAAAAAATGATATGGAGAATTTAAAATTACTGGCACAAAACAGACATATTTGGAAAGGGCTCATTGAGGAACTAAGTAAAGCGGCTGAAGCAGAACTGTCATAGGACTTTTCGGCAATACGGTGATGATGATGAAATCTATGAGTGTTTACTTTTTATTGGTTCAAAAACACTGATTAAAAAAATAGATAGCGAACAAGGACGACCGACACACTATGACCGAACTATCGACCAGTCACGTCTTGACTTGTTTTATATGCTAATTAGGTAATCCACAAACTTCCCCACATCGCGTAAGAAAAGAAAAAAATAAAGTTTGGCGTAAACATCTTTAATATTATGTGAGATTTTGATGAACTTTTTATATAGAGTTTCGAGATAATAAGCTATCAACACAAAGCATTTCGACCACTTAAAATTAGCAGTACAGTATTGCCAGACACCGGCGAGCAGTAATATCTTAAATGGTCACTTCGCCGTCGCGGGCTTGGCCCCCATCCATAAAATTTTGAAATTTGGGCGCGTTTTTTTTTTCTTGGCTGTTGCCTGCTTTTATTTCTTGACAATCGTGAAGGAGGATCGAACGCAGCAAACAGAGATGGGTTTTTGCCTTGTACTTTATCTTTATGATCGATCAATTTTAGTACAGTCTTTTCAGGAATTGAATGTAGAAAACACTGCTGTGTGGGAAGCTATAGCCCCACACGCTATAAATTTTGTCGGGGTACAAACAAATAAAAAAAAATATTTCCATGTAATATTCATTTAGCCACCATATTGTTTGTGTTAACTTTTCATCACAACAACAACAACAACAAAATTAAAAATAATTTGCGTTCTGTTATGACAAATGCTCGTTTGGATAGCCTCATGATGCTTGGAATACATCGTGATAGGTGTGGTTGACAGATTTCATGCAAAATTTCTAAACTATAGAATTTCACTTTCAAGAATGAGGATTTCAAAATAAATTAGATGGTTACATTGCATACTTTTTGTTTCTTGCTTTAATCAAAACGTTTTGGTTTTGGAAGCCGATTTCAACATTAGAAAGCATAGCCTACATGAAGTCATATTATAGTAACTCGATGTCTATTAAATAAGTAATAAAAATTCGCCATAATTCATCAAATATCCGTGGCTTCCAGGCGGCGAAGCCCCCTGGACCCCCACCGGGGGCCCTGCGCGGCACCCTGGCCTCCGGCCAAATGAGACTTGATTCGCTCCACCAGCCCCCTCGTCGGGGCCTTTAGCCCCTCCGTCGGGCAGGTCCTGGTGCCACCACTGCGTGGGAAATGTTTCTTCTGGAAATTTTCCCACTAAAGAAATGACTGTAGATGGACATGAGATAATAACGCTGATGGCACTCGCAAAATAAACCAACGCGCATACCCATCTACAACGCGTGGTTGTGGATTATAATCTCATCGCGTTGCCGACGAGTGGTTCAAGATACTGATCAAAAATGTTGGACCATTCAATTAGGGTTCGTTTTCCGATGTTTTTGTTCTACTTGTTTGCGTCAGTTTATCTTGTGATTTCTATGTACTGTAATTTATCGACAAGTCTCTTTTCTATGTTTTGTCATAAGTTTCATTCATTATTATGAATTAATTTTAATTAATTTTTTCCTGTCATTTGTTATTGAGCTATTCTGTAAAATTTAAAACCGAAATGTCGAATACCAAGACTCAAAACCCACTGAAATTTCCTATACACTTTTATACTGTATTATAATCAGGCCAAACTCATGTTTTTGCCATGAATACTGACGGGATAAACGCAATTTAATGCCAGTATATTGCTTTTTCTAGAACTTTCATAGGAACATTCCCACGCTCTGCTGCTATGGAAATACAGACTGAATCAAAGTGTACGTGTCATTGATCTTGCTGCCGGCCGAGTTATGCATAGCTCAAACACTTTGTACACCGCCCAGTGTTATAACCAGGCCAAACTCATATGTTTTTGAATATGTTTGCTTTGCCTAGGTTTATTTAACATTAAATTATACATTCTTAACTTAGTTTAATCAATATACAGCGTGAATCAACTCACCAAAGTTTTGTAGACACTTCAATTAAAGATTTTGCAACTCTACAGATTCTAGATGGCAAGGCAGGCTAAATTAAGTACGAGAAACTTTACGTACACTTCTTTCCAAATGCCACCATGGTTAACTTTGTTATACGTCAGCGTTATGACGCCCTCTATAAATCTGGTTAATTAGGGTATTACAGTTGGTTTTGATCGTAACGGTGACGATAATCTCGATAAATTATTAATGTAATTCTCAGAAATATAACGTGAGCTTGCGTTACTTCCAATAGTGTTTAATTTTGTTAATTGGGTTTTTACACTAAACCTGTTATCAATTCCCCACTACGAAGTGGAGTAGCCCAGGAAAATAATCCCAACGTGTGGCCAACTATGGGATTAAACTGCCTTTAATCACATTGCGTGGTCCACTCGTATACGCATTGCTTTATTTTGCGAGGCTCCCTAAGTCAAGTACACCCCGCTGCCTCCAGCCCTACCTCCTTAAGACGTTTATTACTATCAACTGGCTCTTCAGGGGCCTTAGTTAGGCTAGTACTAGGCTAAACATCTTCACTAACTAAAGGCATAGGGCTAAGCTAGGGCCTAGGCTAGGTATCCTATGCAAAAAAAAAAAAAACAAATAAAGAATTCTAAAAGATCACCAATAGAAATTGGAATTAGCCTAGCTAGGCCTTGGCCTAAATATAATGTGGCACAGCCTATTATTATTTTTATTTAATTTTGTATTAATAATTATAGGTAAGAAATCATGTACTGAGCAACTACAAAGATTTAAGGACAAGCTGAAAGAGGTTGAAATGCTAGATATCCATATTATTAAAAAGAAGCTGGTTGATATCGGTAACAATGAGATGAATATCTTCCAAGAAATGTGGGAAAAGAGGGGCTTCTGGGAGACTTAAACATGATATTAGGTAAGTGAAGTGATAACCTTCTAGATACCGTCTTCGACTGTAGTCGAAATTGACCTCAAACCGAGAATTCCCATTTTCGAATGCAATCGAAATTTAGTGACTAAAAAATAGGTGGTTTTCAAATCGCTCTCCTGTTTTTATTTTAGCTCCAATACGTCAGAAATTTTAAACACGCATGCGTGAAGCTTTTGTCTTTCAAAATCTGTGAAGAACTCACATGCGCTTATCTAAACATTTTTAGAAATATCAATTTGAAATCGTTATTAATTTCAAAAATTTTCGAAATGGCCGCACAAGATGTGTACACAGCTGAGCAAGCGATTGACCTGATTTTTGATTCAGACAGCGATGAAGGTGAATTTTTAGATGTGCGAGACTTAGACGTGCCTGTTAGCGATGATGACGGTGGGGCTTCAAGCAGTTCTGACGGCGAAGATGTTCTTGATGAAATGAGCCTAGGCCTAGAAATGTGAGGGTAGTCGATGCTTTTGAATGGAAAGATCGCACTTATTAAGGCAGCTTTAAAAACTCACCTTTTTAACTTGTATTTTTCTTAATTTTTTTTTTGCTGGTACCAGGTTACCGGGTAGCACAGACACGATGGGACCCTTAGGGGCGAAGACAGTTATTGATCGAGTTCCTAGTCCACATTTCAAGCCCCATGAGCATCTTACATTAGATGGATTTGTGCGCTATATAAAACTACATTATTATTATTATTATTATTATTATTAACAATGGTAATAAACTATTTTATTCTCAACAATTAGGGGTCTACTTTCTATTACTAGTATTACTAGGCCCACTCACTACTAATAATTCAACAATTAAGTACCATATGGCATAACGTTTTCTCAAGCTTAAAAAGCTTTTAATCCACAGTTACATATTATTATAATTATTATTATTATTTAATTATTTGATTTCACTAGAGTTTATGAGTACAGTACTGTCGACCTTTATTTAGTGGATGAATATAAAATAAATAATAATTTTATGTGAAAAGTTGGATAATCTGACCTGATTAAATTGTATGGAGATGGTACAGTATGCCACATCAAAGGAAGGGACCATGAGCTCAACATCCTTCCAAAATATGAAATTATTGTTTTTTGTGGCTACAGTACTTAATAGTGGTTGTCCATAAAAATCAAATATTTGGTGGCAAATGTCCAAAAATGGATTTCTCTCACGACTAGTGTGTTTTAACTTTGCGGGTTTATTTTCATTTGTGTTTATTGCCATTTTTGCTGTTTTTTAAAGTTGATACTTAAAAAAAATTACAAATTTATTTATTCTTAAAAATTATTGAACAGACCTACTATATATTTCTGATGGCATAATGTAGTAAAGTATTTGTTTTATTAGGGGAGATTAAAGCTACTGATACCAAGAAACAAAAAACTACTGATAATCAGAAGCAAACAGACTCGGCTAGCAAGGCAGCTAATAAAACAAAGAAAACTTCTCATACAGGTACGTTGTTTTGGTTCTTTGCTATTACCACAAAAAATGTTGATAATGTACATTATTATTGCTATGTTGGTATTCTCTTGTAAAAAGTGAGAATATGTACCTGACATTACAAGTTGACACACAGTTAACATTTCATCATATTATCCCTGTTGCTCTTTATAAAGAAACTGGCAGTATATATTAATTTATTACAGCTGGTACAAAAAATAAAGGAACTAAAAAACAAAACAGCTGAGAAACAAAATGATAGCGCAAGTTCTATGAAAGGTAATCACTTAGTAATTAACATTACAATTTTTAAACCTATTATTTTTCCATTCCACCATACTTTTAATCATAAATACGTTAAGAACTTCATTTTTTCTTATTCATGTTTTCCCCTTCAATTAATTTTGTCTATTACACCATCAGTTCATATCATTATTATAGTAGTAAATTTGATTAAAATGTTATATATGCCTACATCTACCCGAAAGATTTTTCAGTAAAAAATTACTCTAGTTTTTTAAGAATTCATACTCTACTATCATAAATACGTTAAGAACTTCATTTTTTCTTATTCATGTTTTGCCCCTTAAAGTAATTTTGTCTATTACACCATCAGTTCATATCATTAGTATAGTAGTAAATTTGATTAAAATGTTACATGTATGCCTACATCTACTCGAAAGATTTTTCAGTAAAAAATTACTCTAGTTTTTTAAGAATTCATATTCTACAATCATAAATACGTTAAGAACTTCATTTCTTCTTATTCATGTTTTGCCCCTTCAATTAATTTTGTCTATTACACCATCAGTTCATATCATTATTAGAGTAGTAAATTTGATTAAAATGTTACATATGCCTACATCTACTTGAAAGATTTTTCAGTAAAAAATTACTCTAGTTTAAAAAAAAATTCATATTCTACATTTTACAGGGACAACGCAATTTAGAAAAATGACAATGTTGGCAGGATTTGGTTCAATTATTTCCACTATAAAAGATGTGGATGAATCTCTGCCTTCAACATCACACAGTGGTCAGCTTTCAACTTCCCCACCATCAACATCACAAAATGATTCATTCACAACACCATCAACATCACAGAACGACCCGTTCCTAACACCATCAACATCACAAAATTATCCATTCACAACACCATCAATATCACAAAATGATCCATTCAAAACACCATCAACACCACAGAATGATCTATTTGAAATCAATAAGAATGGACATAGTAGTAATCTTTTTCTATTCATTCATTTTTCTATACAAATAACATTTTCAATCTTCTAATCAATTTATATAGCCGTAGTTAGTTTAGACCTGGGCAAACCTTTGCTAATAGGGGTAAACTTTCTCCATCAAAAGGCTTCTTAAAAGAATGGAATGACCTGTTCAAAGCACAAACTCCTGTAGACCAAACCCAGTACCGTTACTTTTTTTATTTGTAAAGGGAAATCCACTCACAATAATCGTGTAATCTTTGGTTTCCATGTTGTAGTAAGAAGTGATATTGTCTTGAGCAAATTCATGTATTATGTTATCAATATGATGACTAAATGATGCAGTGTTTTTGTTGTCAGCTTCTTTGTGTTTTGGTTGATGTGTTTGTAATTCTGGTGTGACTGGCTTTACTAGTGGAGTAGTTGCAGGACTTTGGAGTCTTACTTTTTCGCAAACTTAGCAATAAATTGTCTGCAAAGAGTTTATTCAAAGAAGTATTGCTTTTAGTAAACTGAATCATTAGGAATACATTTATTTAAGCAACTAATTTAGTTGCATACTTGGTTTTTACTCATCACCAACTAAATCCAAGTGCCTACTACTGGCTTAGAATATATATAGTTATATGGCAATTATGCTAAGAATTAAAATTGTGAGGGTAGGGTGATTATGGTAGGATTAAGTGGTATTGCTAAATCCCACAAACCTCACAAAACACACTGTAGAAAATCAAACAATTCAATTGTGATTGACTGACTTGGTATATCAATAAGAAAATTAAATACATTCATAACTATTTTTTTTGGTTAAAATTTAGAATTTTTATGAAAAAATACTTGCAAATACACCACAAACCTCTAAACACACTGCAAACCCTATCTAAACCATATAATTATGATTGTAGAACTCTTTTTTTCTTTAAAAAAAAAAAAAAATAATTTGATGTTCATACTAACCCACAGATTGAATTTTTAGAAAATTGTGATTTCGCTTCCGTGAAATCAGCCACAAGTAAATTATTTTAGTATTATTAAATGCATGATTCATGTTGATTTATTGATTATGTTGTGCTATTTTTTAACATTTAAATGGGAAAAAAATAAAAAGTGTAATTCATGGCTTTTTATTTATCTTTGAATATTTTATCATTGAATATTAATTCTTGCAAAAAGTAAAATGTAAATGGCAATTTGTAGTAGGAACTTGGATTTAATAAGTGATGAGTAAAAACCAAGTATGCAACTAAATTAGTTGCTTAAATAATTAATGTATTCCTAATTATTCAGTTTAATACTTCTTTGAATAAACCCTTTTCCCATACATGAACTTGTGATTCAAACAAACAATTGATCCACATGCTTTAACTACTGTTTATTTACATTGTTTATAACATGTAAAGTTAATTCATTTGATATTTAACAAAAGTGAAGTTTGTGGTTATCTATGAGTTGCATATTTTGGTAGTATACTGTATGTCATTCCTACTTTGTTAGTGAAATAACGTTTTTCTACTATCAAAAATGTTATTCAATGGCCATTGTTTTTCGATTTTCTCTCAGAACATTATTTGCATCTGCTGTAATTGTTAAAAAACAAAGCTTTTAAAGAAATTTAAAAAAAAATCACATACTGATCTCAGTTCAAAGGAAAAAATAAAACTTATTTCTAAATTTACAATTTTCACTTATAAGCCTCTTAATTTCACAAAAGAGTGGGTTCTTTTCCAAACAAATACATCCTCTGCCTAATATTGTGTGTTTAGATCTTTTGCTTTAACTTTGGAAACTGAGATCATTTTAGATACTATTTCTGTATAAACTAAATTTTTTTTCATATTACTGTAAACCTAATGGGTTTTGATAAATTTACTCTGCACTACGGAATTTCCAATAAAAAAGAAAGAAAATTAATTAAAAATACCATAGATTAAAAATAAGTAATGTGTAATATATTTTTAATCTATGTTAAAGCATAACTATTTTTACATAATGAAATTTAGTCAATCAAAGTATTATTTGTGGCTTTTATTTATCAAATCAATTAAGAACATAATCTCAAAACAAAATTTAATGACAAGAAAGATCGACGTTTCGGGTCCATCATGAACCATTCTCAAGATCAAGTAAATTGAAAAAACTAAAAACAAAAATACCAAGCAGTGACAGGAAGTAAGTAATTAATTTACATATCAATAGGGCCTACTGTGTGGAGCCACAGTGGAGCTAAGCAATAATTAGCCCTTCTTAGCAGATTAACTAAATAAACAGTTTAGCATGGTTCACGTCGAACTTTTATCTAGATATACATCCACCTAACTAGTTAAAAGTTCGACGTGAACCACTCAATTAAAGCTAGATAAAGGAATTAAGTCAATTAAGTTATGTGACTTAACTTTACTAGGTAAATTAACGGTAAAGTTGGTTCGGATTACAAGTACACGATTACGTAACGTAGACATCTAAGCCAGCGTCGTTGTATTGTACCACCATATTATCATCTTCTGGCTGGCAACAACATATTTCAACAATGCTAACAAGAGCATCGAAGTAGTCTCATTAGTCTGGTTTTCAAAAATTATTTGTAATATCATAGTTAAAAACCCAGCAAACATCCATTTTACGAATAGTCGATATTACCAATGACCTTCGCCCTTTGCATCATCGACCAAGTAATAACGTTAAAAAGTCTGATGGCGTACGTTTTTCGAAGTGATAATGTATATTTTTCTTAATAAAATCAGATTTGTTGTATTTATTTATTGACAATTCAATCTTTTCCATTTCTGCTATAATAGTCGCTATTAATTCAATTTCAACGAACTACCACCAACGCCAGTCGTTAAAATAAGCGCATATGTTTACGATGACGAAATAAAAAAGTGTGTGGAAGCCAGCCACTTATTTGACACGGGGAAGCTAGATTTTCGCGAAGTGCATGTAAACAACACAATTGAGCGATCTAAAAACTACAAAACAGGACAGAAAGGTCCATAAAGTATACATACGTTTTAATGAAAATTAAAACAATATTTTGTTAAATGGAAGAATGCTAGCTAGCAATTAAAATAATTCGTTTTTTTATTGAAGGTAAATGTAGCTAGGGCCTAGAGAATCTACTACTTAGATTGCGATAGAACACGCTGCTGCACGTCGTTGGTTTGTACTGGTCGGCTAGGTTAGGTAGTGGAAACTCACACCTTCTCTACAGTAGTTTACAATTTTTTTTGAACGAATACTACTTGGTACTAGAGGTTCATAAAATACAGTAGATGTTTTATTAAACAAGCCTTTCCACCGTGTGACGTTGACGGCCTGAAACTGGCTGGCTGTTTATCTGGCTCTAACTTGGCATCGAACGCAATTAGGGGATTATCGTATCATGTTTCAAGACGGGTATATCTAGATAGAGTTCGACGTGAACCAGGCTTACGGCTTTAACTGAATCAGTTTGTTTGTTAAGTGTAGGTTTTAGTTCTTTGATCCAAAGCATTTATTTAATTAAAAAATCAAACTTGGATTTGCACTTAGATAAAACCTTGAAATAATTAACAGTTTCAGTAGCACTAATATAATGATCTTTTAAATGTTGTCCTATGTTACCTTCACTGTGCATAATCATTTCTTATTTAAAATAGAATTATTTAATCAATCAGTAACTGTTTTTTTTTAATTTATACCTTGTTTGACGAACTCGCTGACTATTTTACTGTACTGTTGTATTCCTACTAAGAAGTTTCTAATACTAATTTAACCGCATCTTTTTTAACGCATGCAATGTTACTATTTTTTAAAAGTTGCTTTGTAAGTTACAGTATTGTAACAATTTATTGCCAATATCATTATTATTATTATTATTATTATTATTATTATTATTATTATTATTATTATTATTATTATTATTGTCATTTCATAAAACAAATGAAATAACAAATAATCAAATTAAGGTTCCCGTAAAATAAGGTCTAACTGTAGTTTCTGATTACATAACTAAATATACAGTATTTAAATATTTGAAGATTTAAAAAAATATATATCATTTCTATTACCGAATTTTTCATTGGGGCCATTTTTACCTACCTGTCATATGGGGCCATTTTTACCGGGGCCATTTTTTCCTGGGCCATTTTTTCTAGGGCCATTTTTCCCGGGGCCATTCTTACCTACATTCCCTCTTCTAATATACAGTATCTTAATGTGATCTCTGTGAAAACCTTGAGAAACTACAAAGTAAAATTACCAATTACAAAATGGTAATATTAATGGGGGATTTTAACATTCACATTGACTGGAATAATATTGATGAAAAATGTAATCTATCAAGCCAAGCAAGAAAACTAATTGATGTAACTCAATCAGTAGGCCTTATTCAGGGTATGAATCAGCCATCTTATGTTACTCGTGATGGTCAGGAGCATTTTTTAGATTTAGTGTTCACTTCAAATCCCCTTTTAGTAGATAAATGTAAAACTGCACTCAATTTTGATTCTTGTGATCATAAAGCTGTGGAAATTACATTAGGGTTATCAATCAAGCGTTCAAAAGAAATCAACAAAATTGTATATGATCTTAAAGGGGCTGATTTTCATAAAATGAAAAACCTGTTGAGGGATGTTGATTGGGAATATGCTTTGATTCAGATGATGTTAGTAATGTATGGGGGGAAAATCATGATAAAATTATGCTGCCATTGTGGATTGTGTTCCCATTAAGAAAAGAAAAAAGGAAAGTTCATTTCCTTTGATAACAAGAGAAATAAAAAAATTGTGTACTAAAAAAAGAAAACTTTACAAAAAATATACCCAGTAAAAAAACTGAGAAGTCAAAAGAAGAATTTAAAAAGTGCAATCAACACCTCAAGAAAGAAATTTATTGCAGTCACAAAAATTATATTTTGAACATATCAAACAACAAGTCTAACAATGTTAAAAGATTCTGGGCTTATATCAGGTCAATTAGACAAGAGTCCGAAATTATTTGTTTTAAGATTGGTGACCAATCGGTTACTTCTGCTAAACAAATAGCAGATTTATTTAATGAAAAATTTGCTTCAAATTTTACTGCCAACCAGAGTGATGATAATCTGCCTAATTGTCTAATATTGCTCTTGAAATTCAAAATGAAATTGAATTTCAACCTTTTGAAATAGATGAAGTTTATTATGCTTTATCTAAGCTGGATGCTTCTAAGTCACCTGGGCCAGATTGTATTCTTCCATTGTTCTTAAAACAATGTAAGGAAGAACTTGCTAATGTTTTCTGTTATTTCTTTAATTTTTCTATAAACAAGGGCATTGTCCTTAAACAGTGGAAGGAGGCTAATTTAGTACCAGTCCACAAAAAACATGGGAAACCAAAAAATGATTTAAAAAGTTACAGACCTGTGTCCCTAACACCAATAATAAGTAAAGTTATTGAAAAACTGCTATGTTATAAGATTAATGAATTCTTGGAAGTAAATAACATTATCTCTGATAACCAATTTGGTTTTAGGCAAATGTATAATACAGAATATCTCTTAACAAAGGTTTTTCACATCTGGTCTAAAAGTATTGATAATGGTTGTAAAAATATTGATGTTATATTTTTAGATTTTTCGTCAGCCTTTGACAAAGTTCCTCATAACAGATTAATTAAAAAACTTCCCGTGCCTAAATAAATTTCCGTAAATTACTGTACCTTACCGTAGTCAAATGACGGCGTCATTATCATTAAACGACGGCGTCATTATCAGCCCAGATTAATTACCTCACACCGAGTTAATGCGATAAGGCTATCAGTGAAAACATTCAATAAACAATCTGGGCATTCCTAAACGCCGCCAGTTCAGGAATGTTATCTGAGACAGGGAAAGCATGTCGAATGCTAAAAATAGCTGACTGGATTGTTCTTTGTACATGGTTCAGGAATGGAGTTGTTCGCCTACCTACAGACCCTATACATACACATGGCCTACACGACGTGTTGTTTTCTTGTTTGACTTTGATTAGGTGCTTAATAACTAGACTTAAAGAACATTCTTCACGATCTGATAGTGTTATATTTGATCATGTTAAAAACTATTCCAATTTGTTTTAGGATTACAGGGTATACTTGAAAATGATAATATCGTCTGTAATGTAAGTAATAAATTAGGTTTAATATTTTCTAGTACTAGCATTATTGACAGCTCCCGAAACTAGTCTCTCCTATTGTTTAAAGAAGCGTTCGCTATACGTAGACTACACCCTTTGCTTAACAATGGGCTTAGAGCTTCAAAAGAGCTTTCTTTGTTTTTGTAGGTATCTTTGATCTTTAGAGTAAGAATGCTTTGATCTTTTGTTTAAATCACTGCTATGTCACCTACTAGAGGTAATGTTTTGATTAGTTAAACACTTTTGGTACTAGTGTATATAAGCTTGCTAATATGGATAATTTTTCATTCCTGATGATGACATAATTAATGTCGAAAAAAATGCCAAAAAAACACAAAAAAAAAATCTGATGGAAAAAATGATACCGGTAAGCACAAGCCTTTTCATTTGATTTTCCAGTATTTTTTTTTTTTTTAATTTGCATCATGCGTTATACAAATCCGTCTGGTCTCTATTTGTTGTTTCTGTGATACAGCGTTTTGTAATCCATTTATTTTTTAAAAATGTTTTTGCAAGCAAAAACCCCTCAAGCCCGTCTATTCTATAAAAACTGTCGTTTACTGATTTTAGTTTTTGAGATAAGGCGTCTGGTAATCCAGTGATTTTTTTATGTTTACAGCCAAAAACCCCCCAAAAAATAAGTCCGGTGGAACGAAGGGTAAGTACAATACTGCCTTTGTAAATTCATTTTATATTAAATTTCCATACGTTATACAAGCCCATCTATTCTATCAACATTTTCGTTTATTGATTTTAGTTTTTGAGATACGGCGTCTGGTAATCCAGTGATTTTTTTATGTTTACAGCCAAATCCCCCCAAAAAAATAAATCTGATGGAACAAAGAGTAAGTACACTGCCTTTGTAAATTCATTTTTATTAAATTTCCATACGTTATTAATCTATCAAAACTTTCGTTTATTGATTTTAGTTTTTGAGATACGGCGTCTGGTAATCCAATGAATTTTTTTATGTTTACAGCCAAACAACCCCCCCAAAATAAGTCTGGTGGAACGAAGAAGGGTAAGCACAGTACTGTCTTTGTAAATTCATTTTTATGTTAAATTTCTATAAGCTATACAAGGGTCTAGTCTAAGTAAGTTTTCATTTATTGACGGTTTTTGTGATACATACAGTGTTTGATAATTTATTGATATTTTATGTCAAATTTAGCTGTATTTCTAATTATTTTACAGCCAAAGAACCACAAACGAAAAAAGTTCAAACGAAGGGTAAGTACAATATACGGCCTTTGTAAGTTTATTTCTATGTATGTTTTTATGTTAGATTTACAAACGTTACACAAGTCCTTATATGTTAAGCAAGTTCCTGGTGATAGGTAGGCCTATACATAGGTGACCTATTAATAACTAAAAATTCTTTCAGTCGACAATCTGTTAAAATATGAACTATATTCATATTTGGATTAAAAAAAATATAAAATGTAATCCAATTCTTTCAAAACATTTTATAAAAATGGTATCTATGCTTTTCATTTGCAGATTCCCTATTTTTTTAATCATATCAAAAGATATGTCGTCATGGAAATACCGTGCGATTAATGTCAAATGATTAAACTTACCATAATCAATCGCACGATATTATCAAAGCCCACTTTTCTCGAATTCTGCAATCTTAAAACTTTTTATACCGCGAAGTTTGACTAGTGTATATACGTTTTTTCACTAAAATTTAAATTTCCATTTGCTTTATCAATTTAATTAAAAATGATGAAAGCAGGGACGTTCCAGAAGTGGAAGACTGAATTCGGTAAGCATCTCGGTTATGAGGTAGATGAGAGTGGTTCTCCGGTATTAATATGGTGTGCAACGTGCCGAGAGTTCAATGAGTTGGGTGCCGTGGGAAAAGGGAAGGGGTGCATCGATGCAGGCGCCTATGTCACTGGCAAGAAGAACATTAAACTATGCCATTTCCGTGACCACGTTAAGAAAAGTGGAGCGCATTTGACTGCCGTTCTAAGGCTAAATGAACGAAAGAAAGTAGAAAATCTGCCGTCTACAGAACCTGGAGAGCAAGCCACACCCCCAAAGCAGAGAATCATGATTCCGTATCTGCATCAAATATCGCACCGTCAGCGTCAGCAATTGACCAAGAAATTTCAGTTGTGCCATTACGTAGTGGCACAAGAAAAGCAGTCATTTCGGTTGTATAGCAAATTTGCTAAATTTGAAAGAGACGTACATCATGTCGATCTCGGTATGGGATACACCAGCGATATGGCCGGACGGGAGATATTATTTTATCTTAGTGAAGCTGCTAAAGCAGAATTTATAACGGAACCATTGAATAATGGAGAGGCCACTTTTTACAGTATTTTAAATGACGGAAGCAGCAGCGCAAAAACGCTTGACGAAAAGGAGCTTTTTCTCATCAAAACTGCTTCTCATGGAAAACCAATTGTACAGGTATCGTATTTTCGATTTGAAACTTTATTAAAATAAACTTAAATTGTTGTACATTTTATTTTATAACTAGATTAAATTATTATATAGGCCTACGGTAGCTAACAACCTCCTTCGACTTAATACGAATGAAAAAAAATGAATTTTAAAAAAAATGTATAATTTTAAATGACGGTGTTAGTCGGGTTCTGCGTTGATAATATCATGATATCAACGTTGGCTACATTTCAAATAGTAGGTGGAGAAAAATGCTGTCTCTTATACACATCTAGATGTGTATAAGAGACAGGGTGTACGTAATTCAATGTTTAGTTGGTGCTTGTTTTGATAGCTACAGCTAGCCTAAGCCTTAAGCTAGCAAGTTCGTTCTAGGCCTAAGTAACTTATTATGAAACACCCACAGCAACTGCGCTGTGTGGATCGGTGCACACTAAGCTGTTTACGCAATAATAGATACATGATGCACAACATTCGAAAAATGCCGGCGTATCGCCGGCGTCAATTTTTTTTTAGCGCCGGCGATTTTTTGCCGACGTGCTTTACTCCTAATTTTGAGGGCTGTGGAGATGTAAGTTTACCTTCTACATTAATTCGTGCTTACCAAACTTGCTATATGCGATTTGTATTATACTCAAATATACTTTTTGAGCGCGGTTTTCAGACAGCAAAAAATTCGTATTCCGTAGAAGTTTATTTACAAACACTCGACATTATTATGCACACATCAGAAGTTTGCTATATTTAATTTATCGGTTCATTAACTAAGAATGTCTTATGTAAGTTTGATAGTCTAAAACATGCAAATTACACAACATCATCAACAAATAACCATTGTAAAAAGAAACAGATTCTACTTTAGCGTGGGAAAATACATCTTTATTAATAAATCAGCTAAAAATTTCACAGTATATTCTGTTGAAGTGATTCATATAGTTTTTTTTACAATACATGTTTATATTCAAGTACATTTGAATTTTTTAGGTGTTCCCAGGAACGATCAGGTCTATGTGTGAAGGCACATCATCAATGGTTAAGGGCGTTAGATATCTGACAAACTTCATGTTTTCAGATGATGAGCTTTTACATGAAACTATATCTGGGAAGCGAAAAAGTGGAGAACATGCAAGGCGACTTGATCCCAGTAAAGTTACATCAACTGTCAGTAAGTACATTCAATTGTCATGGGGTAAATTATTGAAAATGAAGATGCTGTCATTAAATTCAGTTATTCTTCTATAACATAATATTTGAAGTCGACATGATTACAAGTAATTACAATTTGTTTACACAAATTAAACACCATTATAAACAGCATTAAACGTAACTGTTTTTATATATCATAAGTTTAAATTTGGCACCTGTCAGCTGTAATGAATATGAATGGATAACCTACATACTGTATGAGGTTTTTTTTAAATTATTATATTAATATAGCATTTGTGTTGAGCTTAAAAACTAGAAAAATTATATTATACAATATTCAAAAAGTTGAGTTTCTATTCAATTGGTAATTAAAGTAAGAAGTATATATAAAGGAAACAATTAACGGTAGCATTAACATAAATAATAAACCATGCATTGAAATGGCTATGTTTTGACTAAACTTTTAATGAAATTTTGAGGTTTTCTTATCAATTTTATAACCGGAACAGTATGTTTACAGTAAGATTCTAATGCATTTTCATAAAAGTTACAATGCATTCATTATTAATAAAATTTTACTATTTACAATGTATAATTTTATCGTAACTTTGTTAAAAGTATTAAATTAAAATCAATAAATTTTCCTATTTACAATGTAGAATTTTATCATTACTTTGTTAAAAGTAATAAATTAAAATTAATATATTCTATTAAAGTATATATTACAATTGAGAAACATAACCCTACTACACAGTAAGTTATTACTCTTATTGTCAGATTATGCTAAAGTACTTTACCCAGGTCGGAATGAGGCTGACATCCGTGATGTCATTGGAAAAAGGAAGTCGTACGCAAACAAAAATCTAGTCGTGCTCCCAACGACACGCAACATCGACCACAACCCCTCTATCCGATTCAACTTCCAAGAACATTGTTTTAGAGATAATGCTGCTTGTTTCGATTAAGTATGTATCATCGGTCCTGTAAGACAAACGTAATTATTGTTAAAATATTTACTGTTACGAAAGAGAACATTGTTGCATTATTACATTCACCGTTCTATGGAAATGGGTTGTCATATTGTATACAGTATAACAAAGTTTGTTGAATTCATTGCTTTATTTTTATGTTTTATTGTATTTGTGTTAAAACTTTGGTCCAATATTGCAGGCCTTATGCGGTAAAGTCTTTCATATATTTGTCATGAATAAATATACATGTTTATATTGAATGCACGTTTCATTTCTTTAGATATTTAATATTGTCAGTTTTTACACTATAAACCGCAGCATAATACAACACAATACTTTGCATGACAACAAAGACCTTCTTTATAAAGCCCACTCCACACTATTATTTTTCCTTGACAAAAAAACGGTTCTAAACCCATTTATAATGACAGTATGCCTATACCCTATATGATCATGATGTTATTATATCGTCATGGTCAAACTTAGGCACGTTGCATATTTTTGACAAAGTTTGATAGTGTGGACAGGGCTTTAGTCAAGATCAGTTGGTCTCAATATAATAGTTCGTACTTTAACGTTAGCATTATGTAATGTAATTCTTTAGTACTTACTGACTAAACACGACTTCTTTGCATGGCTGCCGATGTTTAAAGTCAATCCATGTAAGTCCCATTCTTCCTCTAGTCCGCTGCAGTAGCCATTTTCTGATAAAACACTACCATCTTTTATACATGCCCAAGTACAGGCGCTTCCATTTTTAAGTAAATTCGGCTTTTTATCCTTTTCCATTTTGTTGAGTAAATGGTTTCACCATTTAGGTTCACTTTTGCTGCATATTCTTTATCACTATTCCTGGACAAACAAAAACCAATCATTAGTTTAAGCATAATATTCTACAGCATACATATCAATTTCATTTTGTGAAAAATATATTTAAAAATCACCTTTTTTTCTCGCCTAGAACTCCATCTAGAAAATCATGCACCGCTTGCCATTTTGCCAAAGGTCTAAGTGACCTTGTCTTTTGTAACAGTTTGTAGTTGTCTACAATCTATGAATACAGATACAGATTAAATTTATTGTCAAATGTACATGTAAACATACAATGAAATAGTATCGGCTTGATAAACGCAATATAAATAACATGAATATGGATCAAGCATAACAAATTTAATCAACATCTGACATAATGTTCTATTCTACTTATTTTTAATCACAAGTTATATAACCATACAGGTATAAAATATTTACTGAATTCGTTTACAAACGCAACAATATACCACCCTTATCTGTAACGTTGGTAATTACAAAATTAACGCACAGTAAAGCTATAGGAATCGTCAATTATTTATAGGGTCACATTCTTTTATCAAATTAGTTTTCGTAATATTAAATTAATAAATTAATTAATTTATGAAAGTGTATTCATTTACACTACTCAGTATAACAAATTACTCCCCTATTAATAAACATTACATACAGGAAAATTTAAATTTCCACATCCCAACACATATACTTGTACACATCTGGATAAGGGTACAAACCGATTTACCTGTTCAGCAATATGGTTGGTTCCTCTCGCAAACCTTGTCATTTGGCCGCAGTTTCAAATGAAAAACAACCAAAGGCCCAAATGGGCCAGCAGTCCCTTACACATTCAACAAGATGCGTGCACACATAGTGGACGTTCATGGTGCAGTTTTCCTTACCTGTGAAACAAGTACAAACATTTATATTTATTACTAATTTTCTTTAGGTCCGTCCCCTACATTGTACAATTGTCCCCATCAGAGTTATACACAATAATAGAAATTTCATTTTCCCATATAATTTTAACCAATAAAACCAATGCCAATTTACTGGGCGAGGTATATGTGGTCTAGTACCGTTGGCAGGGCTTGCCCTAACTTTTTTTGTTAACTAGCCCACTGGGCTAGTTTACTAGAGATTTTACTAGCCCACAGACTATTTCACTAGCCCACAGGCAGGAAAACATTTTGTTTCAAAATATTTATTAGCGACAATTAAATTTGAAGGTTGATTTGCAATTTCATAATTTCTGTAGCTTTGCTGTTTGAGTAGTACCCCCTCAAATTAGTGTAATAAATTAACAAAATCTCCCCAGGGCCTAGGCTAGCCTAGCTTCCTATAGCATTGAATTACTTAATTATTAAAAGTTGAACATTTTATAAATATCATTATGAGAAAATAATATGAATACAAGGTAGTACATTAAATTTAATGTACCTAAATTAACCCGATTCAACGATCAAACGATCTTCTGTTGATAACATGCCATCCTGTAGTGGTTGGTGAATGACTTGGGGATCATCTTAATAAATCAACATTCGCGCACGTGGAGAGATGAACGCTAGCTAGAGTGTTCTCTCTGGGCTGCGGTACCTCTTGTGCAGGGATTGTCTCGAAAGTTCCGTGTTTTTTTTAATATTTTTTATTTTATTTTTTATGTTTTTCTTGCTAATTCTCCACTAGACAACCGGGCAACATGAGGAGTAAATAGACTGGCCCGGAGCGGTTTTTACTAGACATTGTACGCCGGGCTAGTACTAAATCGAGCCCTGGTTGGATTTTGGGTCGGATTCCATTGACGTAGTAACTAATGGTGAAATGTAGCGTGAACAGTATTAGAAAATATTTTTTCTATATGTAATTCAAATTGGAAACTTAAGTAATCGTTAGGCAAAATGCCCTTGAAAACTATACACCCATAGTATATGCACAAAGACCGGAACACCGAGGCTAGGAAAAAATACATTGTAACAATTTACAAATTGGTATTGCTTACAAAGTAAAACAAAAAAGCAAAAAACATATATAATTTCTTAAACACACAGCGAACTTCGTTAGTTAGGCCATGCAAAAAAGGCTATATATGAGCTTAGAAGTATCCATAGGGGGAAACTAAAACAATGAAGTGGTTAAAAACAGTACCATAAGGCGAAAGTAGTGTCGCTAAGGGGAAACTAAAGCAACGTTAGGGGGAAATCATAGACAAAAGAGTTTCCCCTTAAGAGCCGAATAAAGGTAGTATATATATGGATATATATATATATATATATGGATATATGTATATATATATATATATATATGGATATATGTATGTATATATATAGATATATGTATGTATGTGTATATATATGGATATATGTATGTATGTGTATATATATGGATATATGTATGTATGTGTATATATATGGATATATATATGTATGTATATATATGTATGTATGTGTATGTATGTATATATATATGTATGTATGTGTATGTATATATATATGTATGTATGTAGATATCCAAATAAATATAGAGTTGCTGCATAGACAGATTTGTATATATAAAATAAGAAGTCAAACAAAGTTCTGTATCTGTCTCAAAAATAAAATATTTATTGTACTAGTACTTTCAACCATAGGTCTAGGTCATCATCAGGTACATCATCAGGTATATATGTATGTGTATGTATGTATATATATATGTATGTATGTGTATGTATGTATGTGTATGTATGTATATATATATGTATGTATGTATGTATATATATATATATATATATATATGTATGTATGTATGTGTATGTATGTATATATATATATGTATGTGTATATATATATGTATATGTATATATATGTATATGTATGTATATATATATATGTATATGTATATATATGTATATATATGTATACTATATATGCATATATATATATATATGTATATATATGTGTGTAAATATATATATCTTGAGGATATTTCCCGTACGATTAAAATCGTAACGGTACTGGGTTTGGTCTACAGGAGCTCGTGTTTCGTACAGGTCATTCCATTCATAGAAAAAGCCTTTAATGGTGAAAGCGTACCTTTCATTAGCCATAGTAGCCTAGGTCAATACATAACACCGGCTGTATAAAATTTATTATAAGATTGAAAATGTTAATCTTATTATTGCAGTAGCAATACACTATGCACACGGTTTACAGGGTTGTTGTTAGTAAAAATTACAGCAGGTAAAAAAGATTTTACAGCAGGTAACTTGCAAATGGACACCGAGTACACCCACTTCGGCCGGGCCCCGGAAGCTCTCTAGGGTCTAGATGCTCTCTGATGCCATTAGAGCACTTTTAGAGCACTAAATAATTACTTAAAAAAATAAATATTTTTGACATATTTTTAAGGGCATTTTTGATTTGCAGAAGAATTTCAGCACAAATAACCAGATGACATATGCAGTATACAACAGATTTTGGCTAAAATTTCACTGTTTCAATAATTTAATGAAACTTAAAACATTTAAAAAATAATTAATTACCATGGCATTATAGTCTGTATTCTTTTTATTAACAAAACTTTTGGACCAGGACTACAAACAATTGGACCAGGACTACAACTCTGTGATTCTGCAGAGTCTATAGCAACTGCTTCATTGCCTACATTTGAAGACTGTTGTTGAACCTGATTCTATTCAGACATTGAATTATAATTCAATGTCTGAATCTGAATCAGATTCATCATCATAGTCTTCAAATGTTGGCATTAAAGCAGTTGCTATAGACTCTGCTTGCATAGTTAATATCTTCTTCAGCATTAGCTCCAAGTTCGTGCTCATTAACCTGGATTGCCACCTCGTTTGTAGAGACCGAGACTGTTGTTTCAAGTTCTGTGGCTTTCTTAACTTCAACATCAACTGCGCAACAAGGCACTGTATAATCTATAAAATACCTATACCTCTTACGTTTCACCGCACTAGGCCTAGGCCTAGTTTAATA